CTCCAGCTACACCACACTCAACCTCTCTCCCCCGGGAGGCAGCTTGACAACAGTGGCATCTATTCTCTATGGTGACTCTTCTCCAAGGTTTTCATTAATGAGGGAAGCAAAACTGCAGAATATGCAGGGACTGGGTGTTGGCATCTCATCCCTGCAATCAAAACTACTCAGATGTCTGAGATCTGAGGATCGCTATTGGAAGCCAGCCCAGGCAGAAAAGTCCATGACTCTTATCTCCAATTAACCAGCAAAATGCTGGAAGTGGAGCTGTGGTTCAAGTGAAAGAATTCCAGCCTTGAACAAAAAAGCTAAGGGACAGTCCTGGGCCCTGAGTTCACTCTTCAGTACTGACTATGTGTGTGTGTGTGTGTGTGTGTGTGTGTGTGTGTACATATATATATATATATATATATATATATACACATATATATATTACATACAGAAGATAGGAGACATTCAAACAATGGGAAGACTAGACAGTTATATAAGTAAGTCTACTGTGAGCCAGGAACTATCCCTCTCTGTTTTGGTTAAATGTCAGTGGTGACTCTATATTTGAGCATAATTCTATTCTTATTTCTAAGCATCCAGAGATACCATCTGTGAAGTTTCCCTTTAAGAAACAAATCTAGCACTCTAGATTCAGTAGAATTAGGTCTGCCGGAAATGGATGTGACTGAAAACTGGATCATCAGAGAGTCAGTGCGGGACTGAAGGGGAGTGGGCAAGAAGCTGGTCTGTATATGGCCAGCAAGCTGTGGACAGATGCAGTCAGGGGCACAAGCTTCTTGACATGGCCTCTGATATACTCCATGATCTGCTTTCTTCTCCATCTCTCTATCTCTCTACAGGTTCCCTAAACTGCCAGCATCCCATCCTGCCCTGGGAACTTGGTCTACCCTCCCTGCCTCTGTTCCTGCTCTAAGTAATATACTCTTTGCCCCAAAAAGACTAACTGTTTGTCTGCCGGAGACTCTGGAGAGCCGAGTTTTCATACCTACAGCTATAGCCCCTCACCATGGCTCTGCCAATAGAGCCACCAGGAAACATGGGACAAGCACTGAACTAAAGCCTGGTGTCATAGGAAATTCCTGTTTCAAATGCCTAGCTCTTCCTAGCTGTATGACTCTGGGTGTTAATTTTCTCTTCTGTAAAATGGACACAATAAGGCCTTACTCCTCTATTAGGTTGTTGGGAGACAAAAATTATCTCTAAGTACTTGCAATGTTCTGCTTCATATGGCAAACCTGATACAGGTTAAATATACATGGAATGAAGAAAAGTGGGGAAAAATGCAAGAAAGATAAAAAGGGAATGAAGGAAAGGGACAAGCAAGAATACCAGAGAGGTGAATCCGACCAGTGTATATTATATGCATTTGTGGAAATACCACAATAAGATCCCCCCATTGCACAATTAATGTGCACTAATGAAAAACAGGAGACAGGAGAAGAATGAAAAGGTAGGCTGTGTGCCAGCAGCCAGCAAACTTCTGTACTCATGGGCGGCTCAGTGCCTCCTGCGGGGCATCTGTGTTGTATGGCTCCTCACTTCACACTCACAACAGGAGAGGGGGTTTTCACTCTGGTCGGGATTCATGCTCTTATTTCTTTTCATTCTGTCTTGTGTTTTGAATCAGGGTTTTGCCACGTTGTTTAAGCTTACTCAAACTCATGATCTTCCGAGAGCTGGAATTACAAGCATAAGCCATCATGCTTAGCTTTCCTGGGCTACCCACCTCCATCATCCAGCTGCAACTCTCAAGCATGAAGCAGTAGTAGCACGGTACCACATGAAAGGGACACTGCTGCCCAACTCCTTGAATCCCAGCAGCAAGTAGAAGTTCTGTTTCACGAACATCAGCAGCAGAAATCAGATGTGATCTTGTCCAACATCATTCCCAGAACATGCAGAAAGCACCAGGTGTGGGTGGCTCATGCCTATAGTCCTAGCTACTCAGAAGGCTGAGATCTAAGGATCACAGTTGGAAGCCAGCCCAGGCAGGAAAGTCCGTGATTCTTATTCTCCAATTAACCACTAGAGAACTGCAAGTGGAGCTGTGGCTCAAAGTGGTAGAACACTAGCCTTGAGCACAAATGCTCAGGCCCTGAGTTCAAGCCCCACCACCAAAAACAAAACATATGGAAGCTGAGGCCTAGTAAGGTCATGTGGTTGTATTCTGTTAGTTCTATGTTTACATACATGTTACTTGTCATGCAGTCAATTTGGACATGGCTACTAAGAATACGACTGTCATAGATTAAAGTTGGAAAGAACTTGAAAATGTATCTCATTTGGCCCATTCTAAGACTTCAGGATGGCATATGAGCTCTGCTACAGTATTTCATCATTCGTTTCATGGATATTTCTTGAACACCTACGATGTGCTGTGAACTAGGGACACAAGTCAAATGCCACTCAGCTCTCAGCACGGACCTCACAGACTAGTGGGAAGGCTGGCACTAAATACATCATCCTCTAGCTGATAAAGTCTCACTACTGTGAATAGATCATGTTCAAATGCTAGAATGAACACCTCCACCTACATGCCTGGGGTGGAGGGAAACATCACACATAGGGCCCTGGAAACTGCCCGTCCTGCTGGGTTCCCTGGTATGAGTCTCATGCAAGCTGACATTGGGCACCATTGAATTTCTCAGCTCCACCTTGTAATACAGATAAACCAACTGAGGTCTGAAGAAGTAATTCTCTTGCCCCCAGTTCACACAGCTGATAGATGGAAGAATCTTCAAGTCCTACCATGGCTCACATAGGCTTCCTTCCAAGTGAAATCCCAAACCCTACAGTGTGACGTACGATCTGACCCCTGCTCTCTTACCACCCTGTCCAAGTCCCAAATGTCACTCCTTCTACCAGGGACCGAAGTCCATGTCCCCAAATAACTCTGGCCCATTTTCAGCACTCAGGACTCAGCTGGGGTTTACATGATCCAGGAAGCCCTGCTGGAGGTGGCCTCCCTGGGCTCTAACACCTTCACATATCGAGAGAGAAACACTCATCACATAATGTCTTCATCCATTCAACAAATATTTATTGAGCAACTTCCATAAGCCAAGCACCGGCTGGTACACAGCAGTCACACACAAAGCCCCTGCCCTCGTGGAGCTTCCATTCTGGTGGGGGAAACAATGAACAAACAGTACATGAAATAATGCCCAGGAGTTTAGTGCTATTCAACAACAACAACAAAAAAAAAAAAACCACACACACAGCAAGGGCTGGAGACTGGTAGGGATGTCACTCAGGACTCCCTAAGGAGAGGGCATTTGGTTAGAGAGCTGAAGAAGTGACAGGGTAAGCCATGTAAACAACTGGGAAATGAGGATTTTAGGAAGCAACAGCAATGGCTTTATTACCACTACTTACTTGTGTTTATTCCCTACTGACTTGTGGAGCCTATGAGGGCAACGGTACAGCTTAAATAGGATTCCCATGGCCCAGCAACGGACTTAGTATCAACACAGCGAACACACACAGATGAATGAATGAGCCTGGGCTGAACTGACCGAGTCTATCTGGCCTAACAAGACCCAGCCTACCTTGTGTATGTCTCTCTCTTCCCACAGGGTCAGGCTGAACACAGGCCTTCTTGGGCCAGCTAGCTCCCTTGCCTGACTCTGGCTGGTTTCTGTCTGCAGATTCTGTCTTCATTCGGACTACAGCACTGACACATTCAGGTTCATCACTGTATCCCTGCCTTGGACCTAGAACCTTATCTAGAAGAGTCCAGACCATAAACTGGGACCCTTACCTTGCCTAGCCCAGGTTTCCTTAATCACATACACCCAAGACTGAGGTCCCTGATATCTGAGTCACACTTCCTCCTACTCCTGGAAGTCCTACCAGCCCGATTTTCAACTTCCTTCCAAACCAAATAACTCCTCCCTGAGTGGAACATCAATTCTCTGACCACATAGATCCTTTCTGTGGTTATATCTCTGCAAGTTCCAACTTCATGAAGTCATTATTGAATGCCTACCATATCCAGGCCTACAGCTAAGTATCTGAGTGAGGGACACAGTTCCCAGACCCAAGGCTAAGTACCTGGGTCTTCAGGTTGTCTGCTGCAGACTCCTCTTACTTTCGGCAGACTACCTGGTCAAAGTCTCAAGACTTGACTACCCTAACTCAAAATCCTGACATTCCTGAAAGCACACTAAATAGTTCTGTACACTGCTGAAATAAATGGCTTTATTCACTCAACCACCATAGAAGCCTCTGGAAATCATTGGTGCTTCACCTCAGATTCCAACAGGACTAAAATTAGCTCAAGGATGAGTAACTCAACCATTATTCACCCTTCCATCCACCACTCACTGACACCTGCTACATGCCAAGTCCTGAATCATAAATCAAGTGCCTGCACTGATGGTGATACTGGTTGTTGGTGATGGTGGTGATGATAATGGTGATGGTGTGGAGGGTAGTTTTTAAAAAAAGGTAGTGGTCTATTGAATGTATGTGCAATACAACACTCAGAAGTTTTCTGATATTATAACAAAATGATGCCATAGATATTACTAGCATCAGAGAGGGTAAAGGACTAAAGAGGAAAGACAACTTGCTCTAGATGGGACGGCTCAGGAGTTGGGCCCAGGAGATCCTCATCTGTCTGCCTCCCAAAAGCAACTGTTAAGGTGCCCAAGAGTTGGACTGTAAGCACTAAACTAATAGATATCCAAGAGAAGAGGTTCTAGCCCACGGACTCAAAGATGGCCAAGGCAGACAGACAGACAGACAATCTAACAGGAGAGAGAGGAGCAGGTGAGTGCTGAGGGCTGAAAACAGGTAAGAGCTGGAGGGGAGCCAGAGGAAGGAGTGGGTAGCTTGACCAGAGTGGCTCTGGGGGTCAGGCCCTGAAGGACAGCTGACCAGCAGGGCATGGCGCGGTGGTGCCGCCGGTGCTGGGCCGGGTCCTCCGAGGTCGTCCTGTCCACCCGCCCCCCCTCGTGTCCCCGCGGGGCGGGGCCAGGCCTCACCTCCTTCCACCTGAGCTGGCGGATGCTGATCTTCAGGGCTTCCAGGGAGGTCTTGGCCTTGGAGCTGTCCACGGTGACCACCCGCTGCCAGCCGCCGTCGTCGGCCCTGCGGCCCGAGCTCCGCTTCCAGCCGCGGCCTTTGCCCCTGGGCTTCCCCTGCTGGCAGAGGCCTCGCGTCGGCGTCGGCGTCAGCGCCGGGGCCGGCTTCGGCTTGGCCGGG